CCCCCCACACAAAACAAACCAAAAAGCATCCGGTATTATATATTAATCCCCTACTCAACGAATTGTTATTTAATTTTGTCTAAAATTGCCCTCCGGGGCATCGAAAGTCCCAGTAAAAGCTGTTTTGATTCAATTAAAAGAACAATGCGTCAGAATACTTTGCGTGAATTGTTAAAGTCGGCATATAGGCAGTTTCACAATATAAACTCTGTTGGAAATATAATAATATAATGATTTTATTTTAATTAAAGTGTACCACAAGGAATAGTTTTGGGCCCGATTCTATATACCTACACACTCTACCTCTTGACCTTATAGAACGTTATTTGAACTTTCACGTATATGTCTGTCTGTCTCTTTCGTTTTGTTTGTCTATCTCTCTATCTCTCTCCCTCCCCCCCCTCTCTCTCTCCTTATTTCTACCTGTCTCGTTATGGAAGGAAATGTACACAGCACAATCATGATCTAGAGGTCAGCCTGGTGAACTCGTTGGCGACAAGTCATAGGTTTGAATCACGCCAGGGGCCCGGCGTTGTGTCTTTTAGAAAGAAACATATTTTCTTCACTTCAGCCAGGTGGGAATAGGTTCTTGGCTATAGACAGCGAAAGATGGGGTCTGTTAGCGTCTGAGCGCTTCGTGGGCTGTTTGCACTGTATGTTTCCCGGGAAGTCAAGAAAGTTTTTGTGTGTTCTAATAAAGATTGAATGACTCCTCATCGTGTACTTTATACGGTCCTTTTTATTCCCAAATAGGTACGACACGGCGATGATCAGCGTATCTGTAACATACATGAAATGACAACACATTGGACACCCTGACACATAATGTAAAATAGTGATGACCTACTACACTATGCTCTAGGATCGGCAGAGGTAATAATAGATTGTAAAACACATGGAGGTTGCTGTTGAGTGGGTATATGCCCTAACAATAAATGCTTTTATCATTTTTACTAACACGGGTGTAAAAGGAAAAAAATAACAACGAAAACGCCAGTAGTGACACATAGAATTCTTTAAGGGGGGGGGGGTGGTGGGAGGGCTACACCCATAGACTCGCATTCTCTCACACATCCTCTCCGACACACACATCAGTGCACATTAGTATAACAATACTATAGTATGCTCGCACTCACAAACGGGCCCACAGTCACGTGCATGATATAAATTAACAATAATCAATAATTGTTAAAGTGTGTGGGGGGGGGGGGGGGGGGACACCCCCAAAGTCCCTATGAAATCATCCAACTGAAAAACAAACTAAGTCACTCACAAAGTACATTTTAAAAAAGGGGTTCCAAGTAAAGAACAAGCTAAGTCCATTGGAAAAATGTGAAGGAGTCCAATTTAATATTGTATTGGTGTTTTATGGTGTTTTTTTGGTGTTTGTTTCTATTTTTATTTATTTTAATATTAACGTACAGTTGATCCTACATAAATCGACACCTATTCTAAATTCTCAATGTTTTAATCTCTTCAGAACCTTTTATTGTTCCATTACCTCGACTTTCTTTTATTTCAGTATGATTGATTTTAACAGTCTAGGCTATGCCGACTTATTGGTATTGATTTATGCTTCCTTTTATAAACAACCTCAGCCATTTTCTTTCCATAAATTTACCTTCTCCTCAAAGTTGTACTCACACACACACACACACACACACACACACACACACACACACACACGCACGCGCGCGCGTGCACACACAGCCCAAACAGTCGACGATGAAACCAAGATCTAGAATGCGCGAAGCGGCAAAGCGGGTCCGCCAGGGTGAGATCTCGTCAACTGGCGAGGGAAACCCCGGAAGACGATAAAAGTAGATGGCTGAAATACGTCATCAATATTTGGACCAATCACAGAGATGTGCTAAGTGCTCGCTGCAGCTTCATGTGATTTTTTCATTTTTCATGAGGCACAAAATTTCTTTGCCCGCAGATGCTCTAACAGACGCCCAAAAATGCCAGTTCATAAAAAGGACCTTTATTGTGTTGATTTAGGATGTAAGACTAACAACTAAAGCTGTTATAGACCCTTTGCTGTGGCCAGAAAACCGATGAGCCATTCTATTAAAAAAAAGAGATTCGAGCTCGGGTCCCCCGTCTTCCGAGACGAGCACATTTCATACTTTCAGCCTTAAAAAATAGGACCTTACCTAATATTCTCATAATATATCCAACAGCTAAAAGGAGTCCTAGAAACCAGTGTAGAGCATATAGGCACTTTTTTAACAGGGAAATAGTGCTGAAAGTAGCATTTCTCTGACAAAAAAGTGAAAAACCAGCTACGTCCAAACCAAGGGTATGTTTGGATTTCATGTTTTTTTCACCGGAAAAACTACAATAAAGTAAAATGTGAATAACAGTCCTGTATCTTGGAAGTTAGAAATCCTAATTTCTCAAAAGTAAAAAAAAAATGTGACTTAGTTGGTTTGTCACTTGACCCCTTCATGAATGTATGTATTTATGTATTTCAATGTGTGTCTTTCTGGGTCTTTCCTTCAGTGTGTGTCCATGTGGTGTGGGTCTGATGCGCGCACAGGTATGTGAAGATCCATGTGGCCATGTTTGATTACGACACGCACAAATGGTGTGTTTATGGACCTTTGCATTCATTTTTCTCTAACCTTAGGCACAACAAAAACAGAAATTAACCGGTACACTACTGTGTAAACGTATGCACATCTCTTGTGTTCTCCGAAACTGGCTCACTTGCATTTTCTTCTACTGGTTTATACAAGTAAGTAGGTTTAGGGCATAGGACTGCCTCTTGTTAAATTGCTTACTCTTAAAAAAGGGAAAAATAATATTAATTATGGCATTGTTTATGGTTCTGTTTATACAGTAGCTCTGATGACCAGTTGTTTTTACTGTGTGTACGAACATAGATGGTAAAGTCTCAACAATGAAAGGGTTAAAGAGAAGCCTAAAAGGAATGCAGCCTTCAAGACATACCTGACTCAGAGGTTGACCTCCATCCTTCACGGTCGTGAGCAGCCATTGCACATTATTCTGCTATACAACATGTTATATTGTTGTCTATCCATGTTACTCTTTGCCGTCCTCTGGCTCTCTTAACTTACATCTTTTCTTCACGCATCTCTTTCACGATATGGTCTGGTGTCGTGTTGTTTTACATGTAAGTCACCAAGTATGTAAAATAAAAATTACCTGTACAGCTCCCTGGTAATGACCACTGAAGGGACGCCTCACACGTTGATGTGAGTGGGCCGGTTGCTTTGTAGCCTGAGTCGCATTTCAGGAAGCACACATCCTCGAAATCGTGCCCACTACAATTGAAACTGCCGTGGGAAACAGCGGAGGTCGGTCCACAGCTGCCTCCTGTGAAAGGAGTCTTGTTTAGTGTTGTTTCAAATTAAAACCGTGCATGTGAAGATCAAATCAAGAGAGGAAGAGAGAGAGAGAGAGAGAGAGAGAGAGAGAGAGAGAGAGAGAGAGTGAGAGAGAGAGAGAAAGAGAGAGAGAGAGAGAAAGAGAGAGAAAGAGAGTGAGAGAGAGAAAGATTGAGAGAGTGAGATAGAGTGAGAGATATTGAGAGAGAGAGAGTGAGAGAGAAAGAAAGAGGGAGAGGGAGGATTGAAAGAGAGAGTGAG